TTTCGCCCCCGGCATCGGCACGCCACCCCTCGGCTCATCTCTAGCGAGCCTGGTTTTATCCCCTTCCCCCTTCGAACCTAGTTTAAAGCCCTCTCAATGAGCCCTGCCAATTCATGAGCGAGAATCCTTTTCCCCCTGTGAGACAGCTGAACTCCATCTGCCACCAGCAGGCCCGGTGCTGTGTAAACCTCCCCATGATCAAAAAAGCCAAAATTCCGCCGATGGCACCAGCCCCTGAGCCACGTGTTGATCAGGTGTGTTTTCCTGTTCCTTTCAGTATTCTTCCCTGCCACTGTACGGATTGAGGAAAACACTACCTGTGCTCCTGATCCTTGAACCAGTCGCCCCAGTGCCCTGAAGTCCCTTTTGGTTGCTTCTGGACTTCTCTCTGCAACCTCATCACTGCCAGCCTGTATAACCAACAGCGGGTAGTAATCAGAAGGCCGTACCAGACCAGGGAGTTTCCTAGTAATGTCTCTGACCTGGGCCTCACCATCTATCCTATTACCCAGCCATTTGCTACTTCTAAGTCGTGTTGGCATTTCATTCCCTTAAGACAAAACAGCAAAAAAACCCCTAAATACAAAAAAAAAACCAAGGAGGATAAGTCACCATATTCTATAGAAAAAGTGAAGAAAAAGTGACCACATACAAGGAAAGCTTATAGCAGGGTACATCCAAGTTCTGAAATCTCACGAATGGGCACAGCAATCCTACATCTATGAAACTGTTAATGAGAAAAATGTGAAATAATGTATTTTATCATCCTCAAAAGGTCTTCCTCTTATGATTCCATTCTAGTATTTCTAGTAGAAAAAGTACTTGCTAACTTTTCAATTGACATTAAAACATTACGGTTTGAAAATGTCAGTTACGCTCTGTTCCAGGCAGAGATTTTCCCTTGTGTTCATGAGTCTGAAAGCTTTTCTTATTGCTGATGCTGCAAACATAATGAATCATTCTTTATATTTTATCTTTTAATACCACCAATTTCATGACTAGGCAAGGCATTTCAACCCAAGTATTGCTTCCTACATGGACATCTCAAATATTCCTTTTTAGTTCTGAAATAAATAAAACCTGATGGCTGATACACTGAAATTAGCTATATTTCATGAAATTCAATATATGAATGTACTATCACATACTTTACTTTTATTGATAGCAGTATTCATCCTGCAGTTAATTCACTCTTGACATATGGTAACAAGTATAAAAAACTAACAGGCTGGGAAATCTCTTGGAATCCTTTGGTCAGTTGCTGGCTAAATTCTGATGTCAGTTATGCAATATTTTAGTTGCACAAAAATGTAGATCTATTTTTAATTGAGCTGATATTTTTTAGAATTACCCACAATTTTAGACTCTTAATTCCTGATGTCCTCATTTAATGCTATTTAAATTCTGAGTCTCTTTGGAAGGACATTTCTAATACATCATTCTTGATTAATTAGGCATGACTCATCACTACCATCTAAGTTTCCACACAATTCTTCCACATCCAAATGGCACCCCTTCCAAATTATATGATCCGCATCACTTGCGGAAAAATAGGAGAGGGACAAAATACCTTGTTAGTAGAAGATTTCTGGAAACAAACCATCTATTCTGCATTCCAACAAGTAGAATATATTATACTAGGATCATAGGATAATGGAGATTGGAAGGAAGCTCAGGAGGTCTCTAGTCTGACAGGAGTCAGTTATGAACACAGACCACGTTGCTCAGGGCTTTATCTAGGTTGGCGTGAAAGCGTCCAAGGATGGAGACAGCATAGCCTTTCTGCACAACCTGTTCCACTGCCTGTCTTCATGGGGAAAAGATTTCCCCTTACATGCAGTCTGAACCTCTTTTTTCAACTTACATCCATTGTCTTTTGTCTTCCAACCATGCATCACTGTGCAGAGCCTGGCTTCATCTGCTCAATAACCATCCCATAGATACTGGGGGTTGCTGTTAGGTCTCCCTGAAACCATCTCTTCTGCAGGCTGAACAAGCTCCATTCCCTCAGCATCTCCTCACAGGGCCTCTGCTTCTGCCTCTGACCATCTTGGTGGCCCTCTGCTGAACTCAGTCCAGTTTATACATGTCTTTGCTGTATTGAGGGCTTGCAAACTGGATGCAGTGTCTAGATTCAGTCTAACTTGTGCTGAGTTAAGGGGGATAATCACTGCCCTCTATCTACTCACTGTGCTCCTGTTAAAACAGCCCAGGATGCTGTCAGCCTCCTCTGCTGCCAGGGCACACTGCCAGCCCATGCTCAGCTCACTCTCTACCAGGACCTCCAGGTCTTTTCCAGCAGAACTGCTGCCTAGCCAGTCAGCCCCCAGCCTGTGCCAATGCAGGTGATTACTCAGTCCCAGAGACAGGACTCTGCTTGTGCCCTTGCTGAACTTCATTAGGTTCTTGTCAGCCCATTCCTCCATCTTGTCTTGGTCCATCTGAATGTCAGTCCTGCCCTCAAGTGTTTCCTCCAGTTTGGTATCATCTGCAAACTTGCTGAGTGTGCACTCTTTCACCTCCCTCCAAGTCATAAAGATGGTTAACAGAACAGGTTCCAGTGGAGATCCCCATGACACTCCACTTGCCCCAGGTCTCTGGGTAGAGTACATGCTATTTACCAGTGCCCAAGACTCCAGTCATCTAACCAGCATTTTACCCATACAGTTTTCCACTTATCCAGACCGTAATGTCTGAACATGGAAATGAGAATACTGTCTGAGACACAGCATTCATGTGCCCAGAAGTATAGCTCCCCAGATCATCCTTTTGTTTGAAGATATGTGAAACTATGAATTTTTCTGCTGTTGTTGGAGACCTCCCCCAGATCTCCACAACATTTCAAAGATAAGAAAGCAACCATACAAGGACATTGGCCTGCTCTCTCTGCACCCATCTGATCCTGTGTGCTTGTATGCGTTGAGTTCTCTGGAGCAATCCCTGTCTAAAATCATCCACTGCTGGTGACTCTCCTCCTGCTTGAAGCCTGCCTCAAAGCAGAGACCTGAGAGACCTTGTTGGTGAACACTGAGAGTACCTCAGCCTTGTCCGTGTCTGCAGAATTACTGGATTGTCTGTGTGTGTATATTTATGTATTTAAATATATGTAATATATGTAATACGTAATATTACTTATATAACATGTATGTAAACATCCATACCAGCTGGTGTTATATAGTCTTCAAATGAGTCTTATTCAATGGAGTCAGTCTGATAAAAGGTTCTTTTTCTAATGTAACATGGTTATTTGCATTTCATTGTCATCACCTCATACTCTTTATTCTAGGATCATCAAACTATTTTAAGAGCATGGGCAGTTAAAGACTTCGCTCCAAATTGTCCTTTGTATGTCCAAATACTGAAACCTGAGAATAAATTCCACATCAAGTTTGCAGGTAAGTGTAAGATTTCAGCCATTTGAAACACTTCTTAATATTTGGCAGTTTGTTTCATAAACACACAAGCAAAGTGAGATTCCCTAGGCATCTTTACTGGTTAGAAGCAGATTAAGAGTGCAGTATCGTAAAATAACATGGGCTGTATATATCTTATCAATAATAAAATGTCATGTTTTACATTAAAGTCTTATTTATAAGCACTTTTAAGGATTATTACTCTCATGTTGCATAATATACAGAGTAGAAGTTTTTGATAATTAACACATTGTTACTCCTTAATTATAAATCCAGGTAGGTTTCCAGCTTGCTATATCCCCAGAAGTATAGCTCCCCAGATCATCCTTTTGTTTGAAGATATGTGAAACTATGAATTTTTCTGCTGTTGTTGGAGACCTCCCCCAGATCTCCACAACATTTCAAAGATAAGAAAGCAACCATACAAGGACATTGGCCTGCTCTCTCTGCACCCATCTGATCCTGTGTGCTTGTATGCGTTGAGTTCTCTGGAGCAATCCCTGTCTAAAATCATCCACTGCTGGTGACTCTCCTCCTGCTTGAAGCCTGCCTCAAAGCAGAGACCTGAGAGACCTTGTTGGTGAACACTGAGAGTACCTCAGCCTTGTCCGTGTCTGCAGAATTACTGGATTGTCTGTGTGTGTATATTTATGTATTTAAATATATGTAATATATGTAATACGTAATATTACTTATATAACATGTATGTAAACATCCATACCAGCTGGTGTTATATAGTCTTCAAATGAGTCTTATTCAATGGAGTCAGTCTGATAAAAGGTTCTTTTTCTAATGTAACATGGTTATTTGCATTTCATTGTCATCACCTCATACTCTTTATTCTAGGATCATCAAACTATTTTAAGAGCATGGGCAGTTAAAGACTTCGCTCCAAATTGTCCTTTGTATGTCCAAATACTGAAACCTGAGAATAAATTCCACATCAAGTTTGCAGGTAAGTGTAAGATTTCAGCCATTTGAAACACTTCTTAATATTTGGCAGTTTGTTTCATAAACACACAAGCAAAGTGAGATTCCCTAGGCATCTTTACTGGTTAGAAGCAGATTAAGAGTGCAGTATCGTAAAATAACATGGGCTGTATATATCTTATCAATAATAAAATGTCATGTTTTACATTAAAGTCTTATTTATAAGCACTTTTAAGGATTATTACTCTCATGTTGCATAATATACAGAGTAGAAGTTTTTGATAATTAACACATTGTTACTCCTTAATTATAAATCCAGGTAGGTTTCCAGCTTGCTATATCCATACCTTTAAATAATTCCTGTCTACTAAAACATACTGTTACTAGGGGGTGTATGAGAAGATCTGTTCAGAAAAGGCCAAATTTTATCCAACAAAATTTAAAAAAAAAATCTTCCCATTGGACTGTTTTTTTCTAAGTGGTATGAAAAACATTATTTTAATTACTTTCAAACATTCTAGAAAGAGACATATAATTTAATTCTATATCCAATAAAATGCGTGTCTTAAACTATGACATAAAATGCAAAATAACGTTAAGGAATCCAAACAAATCCTCTCTTATAAGAAGAGATTACCAGCTTTAATCTGACAAACTGTTTCTCTGCACTATGTAGGTAGGTCTCTCTTTCTCTCTCTCTCAATGTATATAAACACACATGCATACATATAAATGTACATACAGACATATATATACTTATGTGCAAAAACACACAAATATTTTTATAATGAACTCATTTTGCCTATCTTTTGAAAAATATCTCTATGAAGTAGAAGCAAAGCTTTCCTTTTAACTAATTTTGAAAATTCAGTTTTCTTGAAGGATATTCTGAGGAAGAAAAGATTGCTGATTCATGCAAAACTCAAAAAAAAACTCTATGGAAAAATATTAGTCTCCTCCATCATCCCAGAATGTGATGAAAAAGTAAATTCTAGTGCAGAACAATTCCAGAGCAACAGTTAAAGCTGTAATTTTAAAAGCTACTGAATTTACCACTAGGTTAGAAAGAAGGAAAAAAGCATCAACAGCAGTTCCAAAGTTATAAAAGTGTAATCTCAAACTATGAGATGGCACAGCAGGGAATGAGGCTCATGCTGTGACAAGAATGATGGTGCTTTTTCATCTCCCTCTTAAAACCAGACAGCACAAACAATTTCTTCTCCCTAGCCATGGCCACTTTTCTTCATTGGTAACTGTGTTAATTTGTTGTTCCTAATTGTATTTAAGAGATTATTTCATAATAATAATATTCATAATATATTCATAATAATATTGAATTATTCTTAATGGCTTGTCTCTGTAGGAGCTTATATACAGCTAGACTTGCAAAACAGAGGTAATTTTGTCATATCTGTTCTAAGTCTCAGATTGAGAATTCAGACTTTTTTTTTTTTTAAGGCAAACAACAACAAAAAAGCAAAACCTCTTTTTGTAATATTTCCTTCAACTGAGCTTAACCAATCTGGTATCTCACTGCCTTCATTTATGTTCCGTAGTTCTTCAAGCGCTTGAGGAGACCTTATATATTCTGTGCCTCACTAGCCCCCTTTAATATAAATTATAGAAGTACTGTATTGTAAGTCTAAATATTTATATAGCACCTTACATCCCAAAAGAATTTCACATGGATCATAGGGATCACTACATCCCACACTCTCTCTCTGCACAACAGTAAAAGCAGAGAATTACAAGCCTTCCTTCAAGATTAAATTAATCTTACTCATATAAAGCACAGGAAATTTTTAATGCAGTTTTAAGTTCGGCAAGGTTATGAACATGGTATAAACATCACCACTGAATGCTTACCTACTGCAAATGGTTAGGCCACTGAGTCATGAGAACATTTGTTTGCATACGTTTTCCTAAGAGGTCTCTACTCTGGTTATTAATCTCATCCAACTCTTCTTCATTCTGAAATACGTACCCAGTGGGGGATGCAGACTATAGCCCTGTCCAGAGTGCTTACAAATAAAATTTGTCATAACCATATGGAATATTTTTCTAAGTGCTTTTCCTATTATGATTCAGGACTGCTTTCTTACTGCCTTAATGCAAAATCTTCTTTTAAATTTGATATTCCCTTAAAAAATTACTCCTTTATTCTGTAGGTTTCCCAAAACATTGTTGTACATTTTATAAACTTGAAATATTCAGTAATAGGATTTCTTCTTTCCTTCCCCCCCCCCCCCCCCCCCCCCCCTACACACAGGTTTAGAGACTATAACTGTCAAAAAGAAAGCTTCTGAATTTCAAAAAAATACAACCAAAGAGTTCCGGAAAGTCCTCCTAACAAAAGTTTAACTTTTAAGTACACTGAAAATTATAAAACACCAGAAGCCCAGTTTCTCAGCAGCTTATATTAGGTTGACCAGTTGTGCTAGGTTGCATGAGACAGTCCTGAAATTTAGACCCTAACTGCATTTTCCCATGGAATTGCGTCCTGGAGATTTTCTGCTTCGGCTTCAGAAACAATATATAGGACAAGTAATTGTTATAATTTATTCCCATCTGGTAGACAAGACTTTTATATTCTTCCTCTCTTTAATGAGAGTATGAGAGCTTATTCTCGTCATCACAGCAGGAGAATGAAGACACTTTGCACAGGGTAATATGGCCTGTCAGAAAGGCAGGTTTCCTGTCTTTTTACCTGGACAGACACATACCCTTGCATCCTGCATTTTCTCTGTTATTTTTTACAGCGGAGTTAAACTACTTCGTTTAAAATGGTAACTTACGCTTATATTAATACAGTGGAAATATTTCTCTGTGCTTGAATATGATTCTTCAGTGGAACCTGAAAGGCACAGGGCATAAGTGTTTGTCCCAGAAAACTCCTTTGCAAGTTTAAGGTGTGAACACTCTATAAATATACAGTCATTCTAACATGACAGCTATCAGATGGGCAAGGAAACACTATCACCATTGTTAACAGTCTTATGTCTTGAGCTGAAATGCTTTGATTACTCCTTAGCAATTTCCAATATACAAATGCCTTGACATGCCCAGTTTTTCTTTCAATAATACTGCATTTTCCTTCACTGGCAGTTACATACGGTTTTCTTAATCTTACTGCTTTTCCTTCAAACACATGGGACTACAAAAGGCCATGTACCCTTAATGCATGCACCTGGCCTTGCATTTCAGCACAAACATGAAATAAAGCGAAGATTGTCCACAGCAGAGTAATATATTTATGCAATTCAGAGACTGGAGTTAATTGTATATTTTCTGAGTTGACTGTACAACTTTAATTTGTTTTCTAGCAAGTATATAGATCACCTTTACTTTGAATATTCAGAAATTATGTATAATCACAATTCCAGTAACTGGGGATACATTTTTACATTCTCTATTTATTCAAAAATGCACCAATGAATTAGCACAGATTGGTGAAGTCTGACGTTAAACCTTCAGTAGTTTATTTGAAAGGAACATAGTCCAGATTCACCAAAATGGATGTTGAATGCATCTGATGATTAATCTATCCAATTACAGACAAAAATAGTCTAGAGATAATGGGTGGGCATTTTTCTCTATCTGATCTGGTAGCGATCATGTTAACTTATCGAATTGACAAAAGTAAGATTTCTCAGAATAATTGTGTCGGGTCTAAGACATTCTTACCACATGGCTGATGCTGCAGGCATAAATCAGTATTTTGAGTATGTGTTATCTTCAAGACCATTTCAGAAGTCATAACTCACCGCACTGCATTACTACATCTATTTGAGACAGACTTAGCAACAAATTTTCGGTCAAAATATATTTTCAACAGAAACTACAGCTTCTGGAAATTCTAAATGGAATATTTCTTTAGTATAAATGCGATCAAAATACTTCTGTTTGATAAACTGGTTTGATATATTTAATATTCAATTCAAGATAAACTGCAGTTTCCTCTGCTGCTTCACTGCCACACTGAATGAGTAATTTGCTGATTCTAGTACCCGCTGTCACAGGACCTGACTGATGTCCCAGACCTGAGGGGTGTTGGAGAGCTGTCACCCAGCTTCCCCCCTACTCACTTTAGAAGAGAAAGCATCCGATAGAGTTCTGTATAACTCTCACCACAGCTCTACAACAAGAGTCCTGAACATAAATATAAAACACAGTAACATAATAGGCAAGCTATAATCTGTCAAATAATTGGAGAAATGAGCAAGTTATTTTTGACCTGATTTGTGTCTAATGCAAGAACTTAACTCCAGCCAAGAGGAGAAACCCATAGTACCTCTCCATGTTTCAAATGGCTACACTATTTCTAATCATGGCAGTCAGGTCACTGAAGAATATTTCACCTGGTGTTCTCAAAGTACCTCTGAGAATTCAAAAGCTTCAAAACACTTCTGAAGTAGGTAGGGTATTATTTTCATATACCCATTTTACAGGTGCATAAAAAGTCACAAAGGGCATAAATAGCTCACTCAAGGTCAAAGTCTACAATAGGACTGGAAATAGTCCTATGAGTCCCAGCTCCATGGCTCCTGATGTAAAAACACTTGACAACACAATGTGAATCTCTTACACATATGAGATTAAGATGTCTATTGTAGGACAGCAATCTCTTTGCTGTGAGCTATATTCTCTGTTAACACAATATTTTACATAAAATCCATCCAAAAAGTCCGCCATATACATTAGAGACTATAGAACATATGGAGGATTTAAGTCCGAGATATACTTTTCATTTGCATTGTGCCATCCATGATTTATTCATTTTCATTGATATATATTTAGGTCAGCATGTACAATTTGGTTCAAGTACAAGATCTGAAATAACAGATGATGAAATAATTTTCCTGTATATTTTTTCTTGATCCTATTTTCAGAAGTATTAGCTATAATATAAAAACATCTAAACAAAACAAAAAATAAGGGGAGGTGATTTGGCAAAATCCTATACAAATTCAAAAATATGGAGATTTCTCATTCCTTCAATACCAGGAAGTCAATATTCACTTTCATAAATCTTTGCCATCTGGCTAATGGTAATGGAATGCAGATATTCCATCCAAGCAGTAGACTCTCTCAAAATCTCTAGTTTAAAATTCAAATAGATTTATTAATGGAACATGGTCAACTAAAAGAACACAGTTCTGTCTGAAATATTTTCTGCAGGAAATATTTAATTGCTATAACTGAAATATATTTAGGGGAGGAAAAATCTCATTTTGTTCGATATGTGACAGTGTCTTCACATAACTAAATACATTCCTTCCCTATGACATCTAAATAGGCCTTGATCTTCAGAAAATGAGAATGAATTTCTCCTTTCAGTAGTCAGTGATTCTGTTACTGAAAAGCCTCTAGAAATTTCAAAAAAGTAATAGAGAAGGCATACAAAGTATGCCATTGCTTTTGATTTCAGTAAGTGGCATGCTCATAGGTATACTATAAATTCTGCCTAGAAAGTAGCTTAGTTAGAGAGGTAAGGTGTTTCTAAGGATTTTAATGATACATTAGTACAACTAGAAGTAGAGGTATGTACACAGCTCAGATCTAGGTGAGGAGATTATTTGCTTACTTTTACTTAGCAATTTTCATATGGCTTACGTTTTGATCATCAGCTGTACTGCTTGTATTATTCTTTCTCATCAGAAGCAAATTCTGCTCCCATTGAAAGTAACATAGACTGAATCAAACACTAAATTCAAAAGAAAAAAATTTAGCATCCAATAAATTCCTTCATGACCTTAGAAAATCTTTATGACAGTTTCTACACTGACAAGAAGTTTAATTAAGTTTTGTGCTTATCCCTTCTTATATCTTTTAATACTGTCACAGGTGTACATGAATGACATTAAAGAGTAATTTCTGTTTCCTTTTCATGCCACCACCAGCACCAGAGAGCATTTAGCTGTGATCTGAATTTTAATCGCTAGCCATCCAAGTTGAATAATAATTCATACAATACTGAAAGCATGTGAAGAAGACTTTCCAGTTTTAAGTATAAGCCGATATAGAAGACTAGATATAATGCTTCTGTTGCTTTCTCTTCTCACTTCCCCTCCCCTAAATTCCATTAAAAGACAGAAAAATATAGGTATGTCTATAGCACTGTTCCATCACAGCAAGTACTAATGTGCAGACATACTTTCTTGTAAGGAATGTCAAAAACAAAGTACAATTTTGTGATTACAAAAGCCAGACAAGGACTAGGGTAAAAAGAATGAAAAGTTGTAAAAAAAAAAAAAGGGGAAAAGAAAAAACAACCACCCCCCTTTGCCTAGGTTGCAAGGAGGCAGCAGCTGTTAGCTGTTCCTGGAGGAGATACTAGCCAAATCTACATTGCACACTGAAGCGCAGTGCGAAGTCCCAGAGCCACTGCCAAATAACCAGTCTGCAAGCCAGTACAGCCTAATTGATCAGCCCTCCTGCATTGCAGCATCCTAGGTATGATATTTCCTGAACACAAAATTATCTCTCTGTACAATGCTTGATGTCTCTATACCAGTTTATGCACAAGGTGCAAAAGATACAAACTAGACTGTGCTACATGGCTTACTCATACAACTAGTGCAGCAAGATAGTGGAAGTGGGATTCACAGAGCTATTGCATCCTCTCCATGTGTAGCTGCAGGACAGAAAGTATGAACTGGATGCAAAATTAACTCTGCTCATGCAATCTGAGAGAGCGCATAGATGGGGCAAACTATACACAGCTGCTCTCCAAATTCAAGTGGAACATGATCTGGAGGCAAATTGTGATTGTCCCTATCTTCACCATTTTCCTAGACAAGGAAAGGAAGTGATAATTCTGTTCAATGGAAAGTATTTTTGTAAAACAATTTATATCTTCATTTTTTCTACAGATCATGTTGTGTGTGAAGAGGAATTCAAATATGCTATGCTCGCTCTAAATTGTATATGCCCAGCTACCTCTACGTTAATCACACTGCTGGTTCATACTTCTAGGGGACAGTAAGTATATACCACCATAAAAAAAACCCCAACTTGTAAAAGTTATAACTGATATTCTTTGGAAAATAACTTACCCTGAACTCCCAGACAACTACAGTTTTAAAAAGAAATTAGAACTTTCTGCACAATAAAAGCATCAAGATGTTTTACTCAAGATATTATAATTTCAAAGAGAAACACACCCATGTTTGTTTAACTATTTGTTGCATGCTGTTGCGCCACTTCTACAATAGAAGATATGAAAAATTTATATTTCCAATTTAGTAGATTGAATCGTGGATCTATCACACAGTTCACTTAAGAACACCAACAAGACCTAACAATACCTATTTTAATGTTAATTTGAACGTCCATTTTTGTACACATATGAAAATTCTTATTCATTGAGCTCAAAAAAATGTTTTTCTGATAACATATAAAATATTTGCTATTCCATGCCTGTACGTTAAGAAGCAAGCATACATACATGTGAAGAGATGGTTTTTAATGTAATAACCGCACTGCCGGAAGGGGTACAGAATTAGTGTCTCTACAGACTGCATAGTCACAGTAGAACCTCTCTATATTTACCAAAATAATTTTACCATATCTAGTATATCTGTTATGCTATATTCTTGGAATAATAAGGTATTCTTGTTAAAACATTGTGGGCAGAGAGAGGCATTAAAGAGTAAATCTCCAAATATATCTGTAGAAATGGAATATGTGCATATAGACTGCACGGGAATACATTTGAGAGTCTCGTAAAAATGCATACTTTTTTTCAGGTAATCATGGACCCAGTAATATCCTGATATTTGCAGGCAAAGTTATTTAACCTTCTATATAGCATTTCTAGTAATGCCCTGTGCCCAGGATGGGGAAAACTGAAATTATTGCTAGAACTTTTACTACCAAGAACAACAAATGTCAAGATTTTAACGGCACTATCTGTACTAGAACCTGTTAAGAAGACAACAAAATACTGTTTCCATGCCTCCTGAGAATTATGATGAAATACATTCTTCATCTGCCTAGCTTTCATTATCTGACATGCACAGAATACAGAGCCTTTTTTAGTTATTTCATATTATATGCACATGAAAGAAGAGTAGTATTCTTAACAGCTAGTAAAGAATTTTCCATCAGCACAAAAACAGACATATGAAAGGGACTCTGTTTTCTGCTGTACTTAAGAACTTTAGCATTTCAATTTTAACACAGGCATATTGATCATTTATACAGATTCCCAGCTATGATGCAAAGTAACTACAGAAGAATGCAAAAGCGCTTATTATTTCTTTTGCAATCAGAATTAATTGATGTGGGTTGTTAAAGTAACTGATTTCTAGTCTGGTCATTGTATACTAGGAGACAAAAAAAAAATCTTTTTGCACAAATAGTTGTCAGCATTACTTTGAATTCTTCTTACAGAAACATACAAGCTTGCTGTATAAATACAGAAAGACTGGAAAAGTGAAAATGTCTAGTTGTCATTCTTCTACTTTAGTCAGCACTTGGAGCATTTAGTCTCAGATGGGCTCCAAAATACTGAAAAAATGGCAAACTTTGGACATCTTAGAGCATGTGTATTAATGCTGGACTAATTGAATACATATGACTTCTTTAAAACCACATGATATCTGTGAAAGTTTAAAACAGACACATTAGAGGGAAAAATCTTCAAAAATATTTCAAATTTAAGTAATCTTGACTTCACAGTGTTAAAAATAAAACTCAAAAAATCAAGTATTTCTCTCCCAAAATACTACTTTCTAAGCTTTCAAATTTAGTATTTTTACTACTTCATTTCTTTTTTGCTAAAAACATACATAATTCCCATACATAAAAAGGTACATAATTCCCAAACTGGTGGGGTTTTTCTTCCCCTTTTATTCCTTACAACTTTTTAAAATCCCTTAGAAATGCTGAAATAAGTTCTCAAAAGTCTAATTTAACTGTGATTTTAATATTTCATTCAGTTTTGTACAAGTGCACAAATCTGTTCAATGTATGATAAAAGTCACCAAGTCAATATCTTTTTGCTACACTGCTCTGATCCTATTAAAAAATCCTACTGTGCTGTTGAAAACATTAAGTAATGATGTACTTGAGCTTACTTTTTGCTTATAACTGAGTGTTACGTAGGCCATATTTAATCCGGAAGTTTTGTGTCCTTGAACATTTAGTTAAGATGATCTTTAACAACTGGAGATTTAACCATTGATTTTTAACAGGTATGCGCTTCTGGAATATAATATTCTAAAGTCAAAGGACAGTAATCACACAATTGAAAAAATCGTATAAAATATTTAACTATGTGAAAATAATTTCTCTTTCCTGAATTACCACTTCAGTGTCCCAATTTTATCAATATTATACTTATTTTACTTTTTATTCATAATTATGTGCAATACCAAAATTGATAAGCACTTGCTAACTAAAATAAACTCATAGCTAAATAGAGGTATAAATCTGCTCTTTAGAAGTATTATACTTAAGTCAAGAAATTTATTTTCAAACTTTCTTATTGAGTATACACCAACGTTTTTAAAAGGAATTTTTCCTCTAACTTACGTTCTTCATAAGCATCTCCTGAGATTTGCACCAACTCTAGAGTACTTGAATAGTGTTGGTAAAACAAATAATTCTGCACTTCATTGTCTTCAGGGGGAAATCTGTTTTCAAAATAGGTGTCGGTTTTGAGCTTCATTTACAGGTTGCCATTGTATTACAGACATAAAACTGATTTGACTAATTTATAAGTCAGAATAATTGTTCTGGCTTTTCTAGGTACTTTCTAATGTTGAACAATAGGTAAATTAACTGCTAATTATTAAAATAGGTTAAATTACCTTTATGCATATGAAAGATGAAGTCAGATGAACATTTGAGTTTGGCTAAATCTAAGTAAAAAGATTAAGTGAAAATTGATAATTTAAACTACAAATAAAAATTTTAACTATACATGCATTTATTTCCAAACTAAAAACTAAATTAGATCTAAATAATGAAGAGTATTTGTTAAATAGACTTCCAATGTTAACAGTGAACTGCTTTCCTTTACATTGGTTCCTGTTTCATTATCCTGGTTACTACCAGCACCTGCATTAAACTTTATGTAGGACTTGCGTTTTAAATCCCTGTCAGCATTGACTTCCTTATATAAAAAGAACAGACTTAGATTATGAGGAGACTATAATGAATCAACTGCTTCCAGCCTTGGGTAGTCTTTTTAAAGTCTATTCAAAGTCATTGGGAGGATTTTCTAAATAATTAGTTCAGGTTTCCATTCACAGAAGCCCCATATCTGTTGACTCACAAGTTTAGTAACTTCAGTATAGTGACTGGGAATGTTTGTTCAAGTGGTTATCACAGATAACCAAGTTCAAATGACTATCTATACCTTTCCATTCCACAAGGAATAGGTCTTCTTTTTACACAGTATTTTAGGTGCCTGTAACCAGAGGAGATTATCAAGGAACTGACCAGAACAATTCTTGCTTTTTATCATTTCCCTGGTGAAAAGTCATTCGTTAAGGGAAAATATGACCACTTTCAAATTCTAGCTTCTTAACATTTGTTAATTTAGTGAAGTTATGATCTTAACCTAAGTGACGTTCATTTTAATGGAATTAAACAGTTCATTGACAGTTCATAGATAAAACATGTCCCAACTGCTTGTTGTACTCTTACAAATTAAGGGAATCTATTTCCTATATTTATTATGAAACGGTGTGACACTTAATAATACAAGCTCTGTATTATTATACAAGATTTCTGATAATCGTGAAGATAAGTACACTGAGGAATTACTGGAAGTTGAAGGCAATACATAGCAGAAGAACACAGGAAAAATTATTATTCTCTATTATCCTATTAGAATGATAATACAATAAACAGTAAACAAAAAGAAACACATGTACATAAATTAAAAACACCATATCTTCTGGTATTAATATGTGAGGAAACTGGGGAAAATGTTCACTTTCTAAGCAACTTTGGCCAGATCAACTTGCTATTAAAATTAAGGGGAAGTTTGCTGCTGTTTATGTGAACTAGCTTTGGTCTTTAATGCTACTTTTAAGATTAAACAAACTAGATTTAAATAATCCCATTGTCTTCTCAGCTGTTTATGGAATTCAAAA